GTACAGCAGAAGCGTTTATATGCCAGACTACACGCCTACAAAGGAAAAAAATCGCAGGAGATTCCAGCTCTAGGTCTCGCTTTGCTCACCTATTCTATCACTGAGCGAGAGTGAAATGCTGCATGCTATAGACGGGATAGAAACCAGGGACCGGTATCAATCGGCGCCAGACGCTCGTGTTTTCGGAGAGTATGTGGTAAAAGAAGGGTAGGCAGTGCCTTCACACAGTCTAGTACTTTCTTGTTTCTCTATATTCTCCTGAAACACTAGCGGCCGCCGCCGATCGATACCATGCTGTGTGATTGAACATCCCCGATCGTCCCAGTACCCAATACCCTCCCGTAGCACAAGCGGTCGGCGCCGATCGATATCCCTCTGCGGCTGCGTTTCTGTCTATAGCATGAGGGCGCCGTTAGAACTATAGCGCGTCGGCGCGCGTTAAGCTCTTGTATGGCTTGCGATAGTGACGAAATGCAGATTTGAAGAAAAGCAGTAGATACTTTTCGGTTTGGAGAAATGCAGAAATGAATAATTGACGAAAAGAGTTTGATACTTCGATACTTCTCGATTTTCCACAGTTCTTCATTTCTGCCTTTCTGCATTTCGTTACTACCGCGAACTATGAACGCGGCCTTAGCGTCATCGCGAAGTCTGGTCGCTGCCTTGCTGGAAAAAGTTATCAGCTTCACTTCCATAGCAAGGTGGGATATATAGCGTGGCAGTCAACAACTATTACTGAGATCCGTTCCGTTTTGTTTCGTAGACATGTGTGTCCGGCAGTGGCACTGCTCGTTTTCCTGCCAGTCGCTAAGATTATTACAAACCTCGAGTTTTTTTGAATATGATACATTTACAGGTTGGGGTGTTGTTCAACGATAGTTCAAAGCTGGTACTTGATGAGGCCGGCAATGAGCTGACATATATCGAGAAAAATGAAACAGAAAACTACTACGGTATAGAGTCTTATCCTGAAACCTTAGCCAAAAAGGTTAGTGCTATTCATGCTTCTTAATGTGTCTTTAATGCGTTAATGTTTACTGTCTTAGGTTACTTTGTTGAAATATTTCCGTGCTTATATGAACGAACATTTAATAAAAGCTGGAGCCCATGTGGTGAAGAAAGTTAGTTTACAACTTTGTCACCGAGCTGATTATGATATGCCTACCGTTTGCGTTTAAGGATGGTGATGACCTAGCCCGACTGCCGGTTCTACGATACTGGTTCCGAACACGATCTGCGATTGTGTTGCATTTGTCCAATGGCACTCTGCAAATCAATTTCTTTGAAGTAAGTCTTCCTTTAGTCTAGGTTAGGTCCTGCTAACATTTTCAATTTGTGCACTTTCAGGACCATACAAAAACGATAGTTTGTCCATTGATGGGAGCGATTACGTACATTGATGAGCACAGGAATTTCCGTGTCTACAAGTTGTCGCACCTGGAAAGAAATGGATGTACAAAGGTGCCGGACATGAGCCTTCCCGTTTTTAGTTTTCAATCCGCATGCCTAGTGCCACAAAAGACATTTCAGGCACTTATGAGTCGTCTGCGGTACGTGAAAACGATGGTTGAGCGGATGATGTCTAACAGCAACAGTCGTCCTGGCTCCTTAAGCACTGTGCGGGTTAGAATATGATTGAAAGAAGTCAAACGGAATAAGCATTTCTTTCTAGGCTTAGCTTTGAATCACTCACACTTCCTTTGCTTTTTCTTCAAAAGGATTCGTAATTTTTGGAAAAGGGGATATTAAAGTTCACTACGAAGCTGTCAGAAAAGTAGAAAGCAAACCCATCTTTCGATTGCTTCGAATCGTTTCGTTAGGTTTCGTGCCTACCCAGCGTCTTGGAAACATCGGAAAATCTGGGGAATGACATTGGAGAGTCTATCTTATCGCGCTGCCATTGATAGGAAGTAAATCAATACATATCCAATGCTTTTCGCGTATACTCAGTTCTCCTATCCCAATTCTCCATTTTATGCCGGGCACAAACCTAGCTTGAGTGGACTTGGAACGTTGCAGTGCAGTCACATTGCAGTCCTGGTGACGCTCACAAACCAGGTGGTGTAAGGTGGGCGATAAGTATGTGCGCGCTGCTTTAGGGGCGAATATCATAAATCCAAGGTGCATCTTCCTTATCGGTTGTGCAACCATATTATAGCACTTTCCGTACCATCTCTGCAGATATATCCTTATTTACCATTTATATTGTTACTGAGGATTTGTCTCAATGGAGAAGCGATCGCGCACCTGCTCTCTGTCTCCAAGCGACAATTTCGAACGGAAACCTTTTACGCCAATTGCCAATTGAAAATACCATTGCGAACTGTACAAAGTATTGAAACGCTCGATCGAGAAAAAAATGTGCCGATGTGGAGCCAAAAGTGGTTGCACCAATTCTTTCAAGTTCAGGAGGATTTTAACAACTATTAAGAAGAGTATTGAGACAAACGATGTCGCGAGCATGATCTCAATTGCAGAACTTTTTCAGCTGCTCGATCAACTGTCAATCCTAATATCCATTCGGTGCCGGTCAATCCTAGTTAAGGACAGTTCCCGCTATCAAGTGATCCGCGAAGTGCCGCCGGCGTTTGGCACTCGAGTCCACCCTGGCAAAACAAATCTACCAACCCAACATCAGCTCAAGCGGGATAGAAGGAACTAGAGACGCGTGAATTATTTCAAAATGCCATCGGCACCGGACGATTAATTTCACTCTCAAATCAAGCGGCTTACAAGCGACATGCCGTGTAGCATAGCGTTGGCTGAGCGTCGTAAGGAGATTTCCTATGCTCGCCTCGAACGATGTACGCTAAAAAAATACACGAAGGGTAGCCGTGTAATTGCACACCGCAAGCGATTACCGTAACCCCAAAACTGTTTGCATTCGCCCATGGAGTGCAAATGAGGTGCAGGTTGGTCACTACGTAGGCAAATAATGACCAACATAGTGTACCTTAAATATTAAATGGATCCTACGCTATAATCGCTTCCAAGAAACCACTTCATGCTTCTTCTGCCTTTGTAAAAACGGCGAAGTTTTGCGGTTTTCACTCGGCAGCTACGCACTAATGAAGAGTATTGTTTTTACACGTTGTCTGATCAGCCGTTTTTAAACTGACCATGCGTTTAGGGTAATCCTACTTTGTGCTTTTAGCTCCTCTATCGTTGCGGCGCACCGTTTGTTCTTGGTGGGTTATACATGATTTTTATTCCAATCCATTTTTGTATATTGAACTGAAGAAGGCATTTGAATTTTCCTCCGCTACTATGAGGTATCAGCGGCTGGAACAGACCTACAGTCTAACGGCGCCTTCCTCATCTTGCGAGGTCTCGATTTCCTCTGTGGTTCTCAGTTTGGATGCGATTTTCCCTTTTGTAATGCGGGGTCTGATTCATGGCCAAACGTTCTTTCCACGCGGCTAAATCTCTTTCCCAGTGAAGAGAAAGATCACTACCGCAGACACCCATTCAGGGTGCTGCTTTGCTTCTCGCTCGAAAGGAAGCCACCAACCTTTCGTTTTCGCGACGAGGAAAGTCAGGTCAGGGCTAGGGATTCAGGATCTCAATGTAGCGTAAGACGCCCCGTGTCCTACCGCCATCCTACGTTAGGAGTCATGAATAGGGATATTTGAGGAGCATCATGAAAATGCGTCGTGTGCGACCGCACCGTACAACTGCCAAAGCTTAGAATTGAGCTGGCTTGATGTAAAGGTGTAGGCAGCTTTTGAGTGCCCTACACCTTCATCAATGCCAGCTTAAAGGGCCCAGTTGCGCGACGCAAAAGTTGCGGAAAACGGAACTCAAATAGGCACAAAAAAGTGCTAAGTATCTGATTAGCGGAGAAAAGCAGCAGAAAAAGCAGTCCGAAATGTTATAGAGAAAGATAACATAGTGGCTACTAGCTAGTAGCTAGCAGCCGGTGAGGGTCGGCATGGGCCTAAGGGGTGTCCATGGGCCTAATTAGTCAGCTTCTAGCGGAGTTCTTGCCGTTTTTCACATTTTGAAAGTAGCGCAGCCTCAAAAATCGCCTTCCGGATCGTCCGACACATTTGAGAGGTCATAGCCTTATTTTATCGCGGAATGTGCCTTTAATTCTGAGCTCCCGTTGGCATCCGATATTGCGTAGCACGCACCGCAATATCGGATGCCCAACCAGCTGTGCTAACCTCCTGCCATAATCCCCACTCTTGGACCCTCTTGCGCGCGGAGTTCGCTACTTCAAAGATAGCTAGTGTTCGCTGGCCACGTTGATGGAGCTAGTGGTCCCTGGTCATTGAATGGATGTGATTTCATGTTCAGGAAGTCGAACTACGCCTGGAGACCTACTTTACACAAATCGAAGACGGAACTCCAACTTCGAAAACTGGGCAGTAAAGGATAAATTGTCCCAAAAATTGCAGAGTGACGAGAAGCATTGGTCATTTTTCGATCTACTCCCGAAATCCTGTACATCTTCAAACTAATGCGATTCGTTTCATCAATACTACAATTCTTTATTTCTTCAATTCGTCAATTCTTCCGATAAGAGACGGGAAGATCCGTACCAGTTACCAAAGTAGAAGTTGTACGGAATGTTTACAGTGTAGTTCGCTGCGGACGGTTGGGCGTGTCAGTGCGGCTGCGTTTGGCGCAGAGCCAAACTCGTTTTCCACTAGTTGTTGAAGCGGGCAAGTGACAATAATGTATCATATCTTTCGTAGTACACGTCCCTTCTACACTATATTTTGTTGCATGCGCGTTCCATCAAGAAGGCAGAGAACGGCTCTGAGGAGGTGACACACTCATACTGGCTGACACGTCCAACCGTCCGCACCGAAATATAGTGTAGCAGGGCTACGGAATGTTTCCTTGGAAGCTAATCTTGATAAAGAACCCCTTAATACACGTAATGACCAACCTATCGCACCACAGTTGCACTCCATGGGCGAATGCAAACAGATTTGGGGTTACGGTAATCGCCTGATGTGTGCAATTACACGGCTACCCTTCGTGTATTTACGTAACATCGGCCGCGAACTGGTTGCACGTCGAATCCTGCTGATTGGGCTTGTCCGACGTCCCTCGTTCAGCTGCTTCAACGGCTTCACTGCTAATAGGTCTTTGTTCAGTGTTTCCAAGGTTTTCTTTCGCTTTTCTCTCTTTGGGGCAGTTAATCATGAGCCAACTGGTTTATGACTGAGCGCCTACTATCCATAACACTTGATCGCGGGAATAGTCTTTAATAAAACCCTATCTACTATCTATATCGGATGCTGCCTTCGATGATTGTTTTCGAAGTGTCTGTTAAAGCGAAGAACCGAATGAATAAAATGCAGTTGCTAGATATGGATATACTGCGCTGCATGGAAGACGTTCTCCAGTAACGTGACTCACAACTCAGAAGGATCGAGTGTTAATAAGTAGCCTGGTGAACTTTTTTCCGCAAATGAAGAGCAGTTACCAGAAGTCGTTTTCTGAAGAGATAAGGTCTGGGGAGCAACCTCTGCTTGCAGATCAAAGTCCCAGGTTCAGTGTCTTTGCTCGAAATTCGAAATGAGCAATCGAGGGAAGTCTCGACAAGGAAATCTACACGTCGAAGCATATACTCCATACCTAAGCCTCTGACAGGGCTGTAATCCGGCTCATTCAGCGAAAGCCATCAAAGGAAACCTCATTTCGAGCCTCATTTTCACAAACTTTGGAAGAGTGGCCGAATCATGCACCGAATTTGAATCTCCTCGACTTTTCGTTTGCGACAACATTATGAAGGAGTCTGAGAAGGAAAACTAGCTCGAATGACCAAATCCGCTGAAAACTTGTTTACGGGGGTTATTTGACATCCTGATTACGAATATGACATTCTTCTTGGCGGTGATGGCGCTAACGGAGGAGGCTACGATCACCTGCGCTCATCTAAGGCTAAGCCTAGAATGAATGGAACCACTCCTTCTTCCAGGCTCAGCCTTAGCGTTGGGGGATAGGGAAGTGGAATGAGGGGAATTGTACATAACTACGGTCACAGTACTTCATAAATACCGCTAGCAGCCAAACTGAACGCGTTCAAGCGGCACCACTGGAAAGAAAATGCGCGCAGTGACGTCCGGCCGTATCACAGAAGGAGGCGTGTCGGTCTCAGAGGATGAGCCGACTTGTTGATATCTAGCGTTCTGGTTCGGAATAGGGAATAGTAGGGAAATCAGATAAATACTATAGGCATGAGTAGCCTGACAAAATGTTTCTACTGTGAACGTATAATATGTAAGCACCGAGTTTTTCAGGCGCGATCATCATCGAACGCTGGTGGTTCACAAAATACTCGGCCTCAGTTTCGTGTTTGACTGACTTAGCTCCCGATTTATTCTGTCATGAATCTTTAATAGACCTTATTTTGAATCATTCTAACTTTTTATCCTTACAATTTGGCATGTACCTGATCTTTATAGGTTGTGTTTCATGCTGTGGGTAATCACATTTACTGCCCCTACTGACACTGTTGAACACTTATTAAATTGGCTAATCACTTGTGTTAGATTGCAAATATTATGTTGTGTGCAGCAGCATGCACTGACTTTCTACTTCTTTAATAATATATGTTCTTCAGCATACATATGCTATCTGTGTTCATAACAAAAATTTTGACCCGGAAAGAAGATTAC